AACCATGAGATTTGCGGGCGTTCGAGCCTGCTCCAAGGTCGAAAACGCTTTCTGCATCTCAAAACAGCTGCTGGCAAGGTACGTGGGAGTCGCGGGTGCCTCCTTGAAAGAGGCACTAACTGTACTCCCACCACCTCCAGATACTCTGCTATCCTTTTTAATGATTTGTGGGGAGCTCCGTGCATACTAACAAGTTGGCACGGTGGCGGCAAAATCCATTTTCATTTCAGAGCATCCTCCAGCGACGGCTGTTTTGCACCCGCTGCACGCTCCGAGAATTCCCTAGCGGCAGGCAGGGAAAACCAGCAATGGCTCATGTACAACAGGAGGACAAGCCGGTATCTCCCCCTGGTTATTTTCTTGGTCTGTATCTTACAAACTGGCTAATTTGCTTTAGGTACATGCAGCCAACCTGTCCCAAATAGAGGCCTAGCCCAGGCAAGTGCTGAATCTCAAAGGCTTAGGTGAGGAAAGCGAGGCTGGAATCGGGCATAGCCAAGCACTGAGTCTTCTCCTTCCCCGCCAGGAGCAACAGCTCACCATGGCTAAATGTTATTTCTTTTTCCATCCCACCCACCATCCATTTCCTTTCCTTTGTTAAGTACGTGCCTCAAAATAACCTTCCTCTCTTTAACACTGCATTCCTTCTCCCTCCTCCAGCCTCCATCCAGTGCAATGTCTTCACCCTGGGAATTCTGCCCCTTCCACCCTTTGCTTGACCAATTTCTGTGCAAGTGAGGTTTGGCTTCTCCTGATTTAGGGGGTCCTTCTGCTTCGATACAAAAACAGAAGGCAAAACAAACCACCCCCACAACTGACTGTAGTTCTAATGACGACCTCAGAGAGGAGAGATCCAGCCCACAAGATGCCCCCTGAATAGAGCAGCTCATAGAAAAGGGACACACACTTCTTTGAAACCTTAATATAAACTAAACGAGACGAAATAAATTCAGCAGCCAGATAATAGCACTGACAAACTGACAGATGGCAGAACACTGAGATTTAGTGGTGACGCTTGCACGTTCCATGAATAATTCACTTGGACAAACCTGTGGATGCGAGAGTATGTTTAGGTTAAGGATCTAACTCCAAGAAAAGATGGAGAAAATATAAGCTGTTTCTTATCTGTAATAATTCATTTCAAACTAAAAGCCTGAGAAAACATCTCCAAAAGTCAGCCTGTGCTACAAATTGATCAGCCTTCAACTAGCATCAGGAAGCCGCTACAGCGAGACGCCCCGCAGACCCCATCATCCTAGAATTCAATGGGACTCATAAAAGTTATCCTTACAGCTACCACCCCTGGAGACAATAGTCGGTTGCTTAAAGGAAATGAGGTTTAAAAGACACGAAACATGCCTGGACAGCAGAAAAGGCCTGGACATCATGGGTCCAGCAGAAGTCAGGCCAGCCGTGATGACATCTCCTCTATCCAACATGAGACAGGTCGCGCTGTCCTAAAACCTGAGGATGGGTAACACCCTTAGAGAGGACACTATCAGATACAAAGCTGAGCAATTTCAGCAGTCTAGGAAACAGAAAAAGCCAGTAGCAAAGCACTGTTTTGGTTTAGGAGGGTTTTACATAAAAATGAGGAACGCAAACTGTTACCTTTAACTGCGCATTTAGAGAGAGGGACATAACATCCCCAACAACCAATCAGAAAGCACAAAATATATTTAAAAAAAGCATTACAAGAAGCATTCGGAGAATAAAAAGCCCCTTAGCAGCTGGTAGATGCTGAGAGGAACTGCATTGCTGTGATCACATCCCGAGCTGGAATTGCTCCTAAAATGCACCAGTCAGCACTATTGGTGCCTTCAACCTCCCCGGCTCGAGGGGCCTATGGACAATGTCCCAGCATTGCTTTCATCGAGGAATAACCCTGGAACCTGGCAAACGCGCTGGTAATTCCGTGGCCTGTCGGCAAGCTATTGATTTTATAAAGCAGTTTGATCTTGCCAGAGGTGAGAAATCTCCATTTCCCAAGCTGCCCCTTCCCCAGGGAAACACCGCAGCGCAGACTCCTCCAAAGGGCCGTGCTGCATTTCTAAACAGGGAGATGAGACAGCCATAGGCGCCTGCAGTCATTTCTCAACCACAGGGAGAAAGTTCAGCCTTGCTTTCGTCAAGGAATAAGAAAATAGGACTGGAGAGAGGGACCATAAAGGAATAAGCTCTCCCAGACTGTCCAAGTACACGTTTTGCCTCTCATTGGATTTTCTGTTTGTTGTTCCAGCCTTTTCCTTGCCCTTAAATGGCATTTACACACAAAAAGGACTGGACCTTGTCAGTTAAGGGTATAAATTAAAAGTAAAGCGAAACACTGCAGTTTGCTGCTTAATAGCCCACCAGGTTTATAACCGCGCTTCTGCCTTGGAACAACGGCGGCAGAAAGATCTGCAAACATACGTGAATTAATCCCGCAACTGGTGCGGCGCTTCTGCACTATCAGGTTGCTTCTCTTTGATTACAGAGCAGATCTGATCGGTCTTCGAGATGACACATGCTTTCACTGGGATATAAAACATTTGAAAAGAAAGTCCTTCCCACGCAAATAAAAAGCCTAATAACTATCAGCAGTCGTAAGATTAGAACTACTTGATCTTCATCTGATTAAGCGTGAATCTCAGATCTGGATAATCCTATAAAACCAGTAAGGTTCCAAAATTCTACTTTCAGACGTTTTTAAGGTTTGAAGGCAAGTTTTCAACCAGTACGTACAGAAACATTACCTTCTCTTGTGTGCTAGCCACAAGCCAGGCATAAGCTCGTACCAAGTATCCTATGAACTTCGAGACACAGGTTCTTGCATCCATAGTACAAAAAATGATCTGCTTTGGCTAAAACTCAAAGCAAAAATCAAACATCTTATGCAGTAAATCTGCTTGAGACAGCTAAAAGCAAACCAAAGGAAGACGGGAACTGTAATTAAAACTAGCTTTAACCAGCCAGTCTCAGGGTGCGGAGCCTGGGCTGGGGTGCAGCCTGTGCTGCAGGTCCTGGTGGGCTATATGAACGGCAGACCTGTCTTCTGTGGTTGAAACCTCGGTTTCCTGTCTCATAGACACTGACACTATCTTTTGCGAATGAAAATGAGTGGCTACACCATAGTCCTTGACCTGGTTTTGAAACTGTGGTACTAAAAAAAAAAAAAAAAAAAAAAAAATTAAGAATAGGTCCATACAGGTCCTGCTGCTTTCTTTCACAAGGAATTTCTGATTGCACTGTCGGGCATATACTACAGAACAGGAACTGCTTCCTCCTGGTGTCGTAGACCACACTCTTCCTCACTCCCATCCTCAGCAGTGAGACGTGTCAAAGGGCCACGTATTCACCTGATACCATCAGTCTGGTGAGCCTCAGGTCAAGTCTCCTTTATGATACTTAAGTATCAAAGGTGATTTCCCTAGAGGGAACCTAAGCGGGGGGAAAAATGGAAGGTGAAACGGCTAGAAAAGGAAAGGAAGATGATCAAGGGAAATCATCAGAGATCTTGGAGCTGCATGCTCTAAACACAGGCTGTCCTGTGGCCTCTGACAACAGATTCACAGGCAGACGGAGACTACGGCGAACGGAGCTGCTTAGTTATTCAACCCCCATCCAGTGACAAACAGAGACTGGAAGCAGCATTAATAAGATGCTTTTTGACTAAGGAGGATGGAAGGTGAAAGGCCAGCACGTACAGTACATAAATATGCTAATGCAGCTACCGAAATAATTTTTTCTGTAGTCTGTGTATGGCTGCAGACACAATACCGTTCATTTTCTGCAAGAGACAAGTGCATTTGTCTTTCTTAATTAGGGAGCAAGGTAGAACTGGCTATGAGGCTTAAAAAAAAAAAAAAAAAGAAGCATAGTTCATTGTAAAGTCCCCTATATGCCACATTCTGGTGAAATCTGATAAATATTTCCTCCAACACTGCCGCTGACCCATAGGAATACATTTGTGAAGTACATGACCAGAAATTCAATAGAGTGGCTTGTATTAGTTCTTGATTTGTCCAGAAACAAACCTGCACACGTAAGGAAGCACACATATAGAAGTCTGCATGTTAGCTAGTGTTTTAATTAAAATATTCCTGGGATTCTCTTCCACTCCACATCAGACACCCCTTCACCGTTCCAGGACAATGGGAAGTGGATGCACCTCCTCAAAGAGTGAAAAAAAACTAAGATAAAATGCACCAAATAAACATCAAGCATGTCCTTTTACTTCCTGAATCAATGTGTTTTTAAAAGGTGTTACCTGCAGTGAACATCTGTCATGTTTACTCTCTGCTTCAGCTGTTTTACCTTGCCGATCTTACACCTTTTCCTTTTTCTTCCTTTGTTCCGCACGGCAAATAAATAAATAAAATCAATGAACAACGCTCTAACACTGCAAAGGTCGCCCATAACGACAGAAATGGTCTGTGCAGCAATGAGGACTTTCAAGATGCTACCACACAGAACGCTGCCAGTCTGGGTTGCCAAAAGGCCTGATCCCAGGTGCGCAGATTTCACGGTGCTTGATTCAAACCTTAAATGATTCACAGTGCAGCCTTGTGGACTAGTAAACGTATATTCCAGCAAGCAATGGTGCAGATTGTGGGTAAGGGACTAAATAATAGCTCTTGATCCATACATCTGCCTTGGCACTCTCAGCTCTTATGAGTGTTCTCCTCAGTGAGCAGATTCAGCATGAACCTTCGTGCACCGCTGCTGAGCATGACCCCTACAAGCAGCTAAGCTCTCATCCACAAGAGAGCTAGAGATGTTTTTAATTCTGTTACAGACTGGATAGGGCTGCCTATATCACAGTCTGGAAAATGGATACAATTGAAAGTTTGGAAACCATTTGATTTGAATGACCTAGACCTTTTCTGTCTTCAATTCCTATTATAATAGAAGCAAAAGCTGAAGGATCATCCTGCAAGCGGTGGGACAAACACCTCCGATTTCCTAATGCTCTGAGCTTTGATAAGGCACCCCGTCTGAGACACGCGTTCTGTACTCACTGCACGCTGCTTCCGATTCATCCGACCCGTCAGGACATTCTTCTTCACCATCACATTTCCACCTGGCGGGGATGCAGTGGCCATTGTCACAAGTGAAATCAGACTCAGCACAAGTTTTCCTTGCTGCGAGAAGAAAAAAAGTAATGGACGTGAAGACAAACAGGGCAAAGACCTTCACTGCATCCAACCCCACTCATGAAAGTGGGATTCACATTCGACATCATGACAGAGTCAAACAGGTATTGAAGACGGCTGTTTCTTCTCTCCAAAACATTTATCTCCCCGCCCCCCATTTTTTAAAACAAACCCGCTCTTTTGTGTCTTCTTCTGGGCAGTCAAAAAAAGAAGGAAGTTCTGCATCAAAATAAATAACTAGGGCTTGTACTACCAAAAAGTTGCTACTGCTATGGAACTGAAAGCATGCTGCATGATTTACAGGCATGTAAGATGAACTAGTCTCTGCCTTGGAGTACTATAATCTAAGTAATAACGTTTTTATGTAATGTATTCATGGCTTCTCTAGTAAATCTATCACCACAGTAGATGGTCACAAAGCACACCTCCAAACACTAAAAATCACTTAATTAAATTTCAACCACTCCAAGCTCTTTGCTTGCTGACATTAATCTAGGGCTTGAAAAAGATGCAAGACTGACAAACTCACGCAGCTAACTGGTGGTCTATTCCTCTGCGCTGGCGGGAGAGCACAAACAGCGCCCTGTAACACAAATCAGCATATGTCCACTACAGCAGAAAGATACTAATTCCACAGGCAGCCCATTCAGTCCTTAGCCTCAGTTCCCATGGGATTAACAGCCACTGCCACTTGCAATGGTGTCTTTAGTCATCTTCAGAGTGCAAGACTATAACTAACCAGTATCTACCTGTGCTGGTAGTTAATTTATATAGGAAGTAGTAGCATGGAGAAGATTTGTTTCTTCCCTGCAAAGCTGCTCACAACCTAATAGGATCTCAGGAAAACAGGTTGGAAAGGACCTCAAGAAGGCATCTAGTCCAGCCTCCTGCTCAAAGCAGATCAGCAACGAGGTCACCCCAGGTTACTCAAGAGCTTCATCCAGCCTGGTCTTAAAAACCTCCAAGGATGGAGACTGTACAGCCTCCATTGGCAAGCTACTCTAACGCCGTCCTCATGGTAAGGTTTGAGTTTGATAATTATTTCCCAATATAAGCAACGTGCACACATCATGGCCACCTCAACGTTTCTTCCAGCAAACGTTTTCAAAGTTTAAGCATAACAAATCAGCCTCCCTGATTTGATATTCCTTTTCTTAAACGAGCTCCTGATTGTCAGAGAGGGAGCTGTGTGAAATGTAGGTCACGTGCAGAAAACAGGGGCATGATTGCGCGAGGTACTGGAGAGAGTTACATGTCAGAAATGAAGTATTCATTTTCTAATGCACAAAGTATGCAGCTTCCCTTAACCGGCATCCAAAACAAAAATGCTGCAAAACATCACTAAGCACATGTACAATCTCTGAGGACACACTTCATAAAGTGAACATACATTTACTCCCTTCCCTTTGTTAAGTGAGCTGGGTTCTTAATAAAATGGATGACTGCCCTTCAGTGTTACAGAACCAGATATTACAAACTAATACTGAAAGACAAATGCACAGACCAAGAGTTTTACGTGAGACCAATCATGTTAAGAATCCAGTCTAGTCTTCCAAAAATACTGCACACCATCCACTGGTCAGAGCAGGTCTGCTTCAGACCCTCCCAGGTTGGAAACCCCAAACTTGAGGAAACAGCTATCACGAGTCTCTTCCGCAAACGGAGACCCGACTGCCATCTGCAGCAGTTAAGTTAGCAGTGCGGAAGAAATTGCAAAGCGTGGCCTCGAGATCAACCATGGCCAGCAGAGGTCTGCAGGACATAGCCCGGAAACGTCCCCGATGGAGCTACAATGCCGTGGGCCAACAGCAGAAGACTGCCAAAGCAAGGCAAAACTCAGCGAGCTAGGATTTGTAATCCTAGCAGGCTGCATCTCTCTATGCGAGACACAGTAGATTTAATCTGATGCATTTAATGCAAGTTTAAGCACAGAGCTCTGAGCGGACACCGAAGAGGCATGCCTGGATAAGCAAGACCGGGGCACTCCTCCGCTTGCTGGGGAGCTGACTGCATAAAACGTCCATATCTGCTATTAGGGGAAGGACGTGAAGTCTACCAAAGTACAACTCTTTCTCCGCCTCAAATTAAACCGCCCTTTTTCCCGTCAATCTACCAGTGCGATCGCTGTTATTTCCGGGATGCGAGCGCGCGCGCGGGGTCGCGGCCAGAAGGGAGGGTAGCAGGATTCCCGTCAGCCTCGCCAACCCGCTCGCAGCAGATGGTGCCGCTGATTGCTTTGTTCCCCTGACACTGCACAATTAATAGATTGCCGGGATTCACAAGAAGGGGGAGAAATACATTACCGACAATCACCGGGCGTCACTTGGAAGGTGTTAACGTGCTCCTCCGGCGCAGCCTCCCTCTCCGCAAGGCGCAGGGCGCACAACGGCCCACCAGCAGCGGCCCCACCGCCGCAAAAGGCGCCCTCGCCGCCAGCGCTCACCCCAAGGTCCGATGCTCAGGGCCGGATAAATCAGCCAGATAGAAGTGCATTTGGTCCTTTGTTTGAATCTAAGCTGCCGATAATCTCTTAAAGAAGCAGGACTGAGGAGAAGGCAGCCATGACTGTGATATTTGCTTTTACTATTGCTGATTCTTTACTGCTTCTGCTTTTTGCCATTATTTGTATTTTATATATTATACTTAATTTGCTGGAGAGTAATAATAACAACAAATAAATAACAACAAAGAAGAGCTACAGTTCTACAGATTGCCTTAATTAAAATAAACTGGGCTCTGTGGTGCAAACAGCTGCTCGGGTTATTAAAACTGAGAGAAGACTGAAACACTGTCTCATCTCTCACCTCTAAGGCCAGCCTGGTATCACTTTGCTTTCAACCAGATTCACCTTCTGGCACTCAACTGCAGTGTCTCCAGGCTCACAACACCGGCAGGGAGCAGTTAATTAAAATATCTGCTCTCTATTTTTTTTTCTTCTTTTCTCTTTCTCAAGTCAGACAACCTTTTCTATTAATCTCCCGCGTGATACACCTTTCTTCTATCAATCCTGTATTAAAAATTCATTGTGGTTCACACCATAAACTGTCAGCGGTGCATTAAAACGTAGAATAAAACACACGCATCCCTTTTGGGCAACAGGGCGTGCGCAGGTTTGGCTTATGGTTTCACCTGGCCCTCTCAGGAACAACCCAACAAACCTAATTGCTCCCTCGAGACGTGTCGCCTTCACCGCGAGCGTCCCTCGCAAAGGGATGCAACCAAGCCAGCACGGCAGCGGGGCATCCCCGCTCCTCGGGGTGCACACCGCTGCCTGGACCAACAAAGGAGAGGGCCACCACCGTGGGCATGGAGCCTTTCCTCTTCACCTGATCAACGCAGCGGCACCAAAAGAGACGGGCTTTATTTCGGCTCTTGCCTGACTTGTCTTTGGTACCTGCTTTTCCTTTCCCACGCCTGCAGCTGGGCAGACGCACCGGGAACCCCAGGGCAGGAGTTACCACGGGTGCTGCCGGGGGCTCGGCCCCAGGGCAAGTCCTGGCTTGGGCATCTTTCCAAAGGAAAGCTCGGTTGAAGGAAGTCTTTTCCCTTTCTCTGCGCTGGTGAAGAAAGTCAAGAGCTAAAATCAAAGTCTCAACTTTAAAGTAACCAACTATGAACGAGAAATACCCCAATATACTGAACTTTGCACTAAACTGTGCCAAACCAGCACAGCCCATAGTTTTGCAAAATTATCCTTTTCCTTTCCATTACTTATGCCCTTTACTCTACACTGCAGGGTGAGGATTCAGGAATCGGTTAAAAACAGAGAACGTGGGGACACTAGCTTGGCCTCATGAACATTTATTGAGGGAATTCATAAGAAGGCAGTCACTAGGGATATGTATGATTAGACTGGAGAAAATAAATATATACTGAAAGGGAAATAAATACATACCGAAAGGAACAAATCCTGTACTGGCTAGGAGCGGGGACTGGGTGATCTAACTGATTTCTGACTGTCAAAAATACCCCTCTCTGAAAGGTGAAACCCCTGGCATTAAAGTCAAACAGGTTTCTGAATTTAAGAGGTCCAGGATTTAATCTTCCTTCCTCTTTCTAAAAAAACTCCCAAACCTTCTCCACCCTGTCACCCCCCTCCAAAAAAAACCCCAACTCACACACAACTTCACTCACTTCACTTTACTTCTTGCTGCAGCTCTAGAGCTTTTATGGGACAGGAGCATCTTTTACACTTACCCTGGACCAGATACCAGGCCTCTGCAATTTAATTTCCAATCCATGTCTCTTGCTTATTCCTGCTTTGCACGTCTATAATACCATGCAATAGGTCACACTACAATCTTTTCTTTTTTTGCTACTCTTAATTCTCCCAAACCAACACTAGCTGAAGAGCGCAGTGAACACAGTTCTTCTCGATCATCAACAGTTTGTCAGCAAAATTCCAGTTGTTTAATGGCCGTGGTGACGTAAAAGCACCCAAAGGCCATCTTTCTCATCACAACTTGCCTGTAAGAGGACAGTTAATAAATCAGAGAGCTTTTTTCCTAAGAGAAGGAAGTTTTACGCAGTAAAAACTCAAAACACAGAAGTTTGAGATTAAGGCTCTGGGCGCTGTATTCGAACAGGAAAGCAGGCCAGGAAGAGCGCTCCCGAACGCCAACGCAAGGCAACCTTGCGGGCCGTGCTCTCTCGCTTCCATCCCCACCCAGCAACTGCTGGCTCCTTTCCACCCAATCTGAAAGCAGGGAGGAAACGTCAAAAACAAGTCTACTCCTGCAGGTTTCATACAGCTGGTAGCTGCAGAGCGAGCAAGCGCAATTACAGCCCCGCAGAGGGAAATAAGGGTCCAAGCTGGCCACCGTGCATCGAGTTTGGCAGCAGCTTGGGCAGCCTGCAGGTAGGTCCTGCCAGCTGGGGCCTTGGCAGCTTCTCCATCTCGCACCAGAGGTAGCTAGTGACCCTTAAAAAAAAAAAAAAAACCTAGAATACTCAGATATGAAAACATTGAAAACTTGGGCTTCTTTTAT